CTGGGTGTCCGCAAGAGTAGAATTGCTGGAGGCGCGTCCCCTGGTGTGTTTTAGATGCCTGGAGAGGGGACACGTGCGCCAGCAGTGCAGGAGCGCAATCGACAGAAGCACGCTGTGCTATCGGTGCGGAGTAGAGGGCCATTTGGCTCAGAGCTGCTCTGCACCGCCAAAATGCGCAGTGTGCAGCGCGAAGGGACACCCAGCCAACCATAAGGCGGGAGGAGCGGCCTGCCGGCAGCCATCCAAAAAAGAAAAGAGGATGGCCCGGAGGTCCAAGGAAGAAGAAAATAGGAGAATTGCGCAGGGCAAGACCCCTATGGAAGTGACGGAAGCTCCGACGGGCCCGAGCAGAGATAGGGAGGAGCTGATGATCATCGAGGAGGCTCCAAGTAAACTAGAAGCCGGTAAAACGGCACAAGAGGACATCAGCCGGGAGGAGGCTGCAACGGCCTCGCCTTCACGGCGATAAAAATATTGCAGGCGAATCTCAACCACGCCCGCCAGGCGCAGGATATCTTCCTGCATAGCTTGGCGGAGCGTGGTTGTGGACTAGGCATCGTCGCCGAACCATACCGTGTCCCCAAGAGCCCGTGTTGGGCAGAAAGCACGGATGGGACGGCGGCGATTACATGGAGAAGAACCGGGGAACGAAGTCTCCCTGGGAAGAAACTCAAGGCTGGAGAAGGTTGGGTCGCGGTGGAATGGGGCCCACTGGTGATTATAGGGGTCTACCTTAGACCTAGCCTCTCCAGAATAGAGTTGGAGGGACGCCTCCAAGAGTTGGAGGATCTAGTCCGGGAATTCCTTCCCGGACTGGTATTGGTCGCCGGGGACTTCAATGCCAAATCGGCAATGTGGGGTTCCCGGCGGCCGGATGCCAAAGGAAGAGAGGTGGAGGCCTGGGCGGATCGCCTGGGCCTTCATCTCGAGAACGTGGGTACGGTTAGCACCTGCGTACGACCGCAGGGGGAGTCCATCGTGGACTTGACTTGGTCATCCCCTGCGGCCGCGAGGATGGTAGCTTCATGGAAGGTGGTGGAGGACTTGGAGCTCCTCTCGGACCACCTCCCTATAGAGGTGGTTCTCTCTAGACCGGGAGGCAGAGGGGAGACTCCGAGCCCATACACGAAGTGGGCGATAAAAAAGCTAAACCCGGATGGGCTTGTGGAGTCGTTGGTGGCGGCTACGTGGGCCCAGCCGGAGCCACTGCCAACGATAGCGGAGGAGATACAGTGGCTGCGGAATACCATGCGGGCGGCCTGCGACAATGCGATGCCTCGGGCCAGGTTCACGCCGCGAAAAGCGGCCTACTGGTGGTCCGAAAGCATCGCGGAATTGAGGCGACTTTCGGTGGCTGCCAGACGGGCCGTACAGCGGGCGAGGAGAAGAGCCCACACGACCCGGGAGGCCATGGAGGAGCTCCTGGAAGCCTACCGCGAAAGGAGAAAGAACCTAAAGGTGGCGGTACGGAAAGCAAAGGAAGACGCGT